TGTTGGAATACAAAAAGGAGCTGGGGATTATGAGCGCTGAAAGGCACTCTAGCGACAAACACTGTGCGATAGAGGGAATTTGGCAGTTGTGTTGAATACAGCGGCATTTGTTTCTTAGGAGAGCTTCATCCCCCACCCCCCACATCCCTTCATTCCGGCTCCAATATTGTTGGGCTGATTGCAGGGTCAAATGGCTTTACACTCAATTAAAAACGTTAACTACAGCAGAAATGTCGCCCATAATGACATTGTTCTGTCAACAATTAACTGTGTTTTGTATTAAACTCGCCACAGAGACCTGTCATGACCTGACATGTCACGTAGCTTTCACCGTTTTTGTTTTGTTACTTACACAAAAATAACAACTCAACGTCAGCTCTGGTTATTTCCCCAGGCAAAAGAAGTGGGCAGTGTTCATGTATTGAGCAAATGCGTACAAGGGCAAAACAAATATTAAATCGCTCTTTGACAGCGCAGGAGCTGTTACTGTTGTTCAGAACCATTACAGCTGTCTGGCAGCGTTCATTAGGAGGAATATTGTTTGTTGGATGAAACGGGGCTTTGTGCAAAACAATGCAATCCAGAGTCATTGTCTAATCATGTTTTGAAAAACAAAACCCGAGATGTCAGACTTTAAAAGAATATCAGAAAAAGGCGACAAGCTCAGTTTCTACTTACATGATGTAATATAATCTTCAGATCCAGGGGAAAGGTCTTTTATGAGGCAATGTAATTAATGCACCTCATAGTATGTTTTTTTGGTATGTTATGATTGTACGACATATCTGCTTATTAATACATTTGGATGGATTTGATGATGTCTATTATTTAAATCAAAATGCAGCAGCTCTTGTGTATACGTTGTGTGTTAACTTCATCAGGAACTGGGGATAATTCCACACAATTTCAACTTTTATACAGCTAGACTTTGGAGCAGTCATAAACCCAATACCCCCAATAGAAAATTGGACTAAAGCAACATTTTGATGTTCTTAGATAATCAGCTAATAACAAGTTTTCTTTGATAGAAGCTGTAAAAGGACCAGTAAATTGCTGTAAAAACTGCATCAAAACATAGTCATAATCCAGTTATGGATAGAGCAATAAAGTTAAACGTGTTAAGGACTACAATGACAAACAAATCAAACATTACATTATCGTGCTTTATGTATATTTAATGTTTATATCCTGCTTAGAAATATGGAGGTTATCCTCTTGCATAAACCTTCCTCTCACTTGTCAGTCCATGAATTCATTGCACATAAAATCTGCACGCTTTTCTGTTTATTTGAAGCATTTTTTTAAAACACCAGCAATAAACAGCAACGGTTGCATTAGACTGGGGTCCTTCCCCTGCCTGCATATTGAACTTGCTCACTTAACATCTGCAGGATCCACTGTCACATGCTACCCTCTAGTGTCCGAACTGTAAACTGCAACAACTTCGTTTTTAAAGTGTGACAGGACAGAAAAGCGCTGAGGAGGAGGAGGGCTGATGCCATTAGCGTGATGTTGACTGAGTGAATGGCTGTGTGAGACACGGAGCCCAGTGTCGTCGGCCCTATCTTAACCGCACAGCTAATTAACAGCTCTGGCATGCTCGCTCTCTCTCTCTCACTTTCCCTTTCCTTTCTCCCTGCCTCGCTCCATTTCTCTCAGCCAGGGCTGGCAGGAGATGAAAATTCCCTGTATTAATTAATCTGTTACATACAGGAATAGGGATGAAAATGAGATACATCTCTGTGTATGTGTCCCGAGAGCTGATGACGGCTGTAGGAGAATAACACGCTATGCTGGGTGAATTAATAATCCCCCTCGTAAGGAGCCTCAACTTCACCCAGGCACATCAAAGAAAGTGCACAAGACCCCTTCACAGTCCTGACCTTGGGATTTGCCAGGGTCCATAAAGCATTTCAGAGTGTGTTGACACCAAACAAGATATATTCACCTTGGGTCTGATATTGATTAGTACTGAGATGAGATGATTTGCTATGGATGTTACAGCCATCCAGCCAGTCTAAAAGGCTGATTTATGCCTCGTGTTGAAGCTATCGCTGAGCCTTGGCTCCATTACAAACCCAGCCGTGCACAGATTCAGCTTTAATCAAATGTTGTTTTAGAAATGATCACTGCTGATGTGATTTACCTGAAATTACCTAAAGTATGATTTTCTTAGTACATACTCAGGTCTGGGTTTATTATATATACATATTTGTTCAGTGCTAAATATACCATAATAGGTTCTTACTGTATGCTCTTCATGAACCCATACTTAAAAAAGACTGCAAAATTGTAGGTTCCTATCACGAAACTGTGAAAATAGTTTCAAGGAATCATATAAATCACAGGTGGTGTGTGTTAGTATTTTAGTTTACACAGAGCCCATATATTCCTTTAAACGTGACATAAGTAAAGCTGTAGACACTCACAGTTACACATGGACTTTAGTTGTTAACTATAAAGTTCTAAAAAGCTACAAACCTCTACGGAGCCCTGGAGGGTTCATAGAGAGAAAAATAAATAAAACGTGGCCACGTTTTACTTTCTCGTGGGCACGCTTTAGTAACTCGTGCGCACGAGTTACTAAAGCGTGCGCACGAGTTACTAAAGCGTGCGCACGAGTTACTAAAGCGTGCGCACGAGTTAATAAAGCGTGCACACGAGTTACTAAAGCGTGCGCACGAGTTAATAAAGCATGGCCTCGTTTTGTGTGTGTGTGTGTGGGGGGGGGGGGGGGGGGGGCATTTGTTTATGATAGTATCGTCCGTTCCGGTGCACTCCGGCAGGACTATAGCACATCGAGATTAAGATTAAACACATTTCTTTGACTTGGGAATACACTTAACTATGGGGAACCAGATTTGTTTAAAGTACTGTTCGTGGTAATTTGAAAACAAATGCCGGTGGTGTCGGATACACACGAACACGCACACAGAGCGGAGCTGAGCGCACACACACACACATCATGCGCCCCGGTGACAGGACATCTCCTTCATAAAGCGAGGGGGAATACTCTGGTAGTTCGATGTGTGTATAGGTGTGTGTGGTTAAACGTAGCAGCCTCGATCTCTATCAGCGGTTGTAATGAAGGGAAACGCAGTGAAGTAAACAGTAAAAGGCACAGCTCTTTGCAGCTGGTGATTCTGCTGAGTTACACGTTACTGCCTCCAGTGCCCTGTACGACGAAGCCAGTTCAACAGACCCTGGACCTGAATATGTTCGATTTACCCGGCTTAACTGACCCTAACAAACGCGATGTCGATAAGCGGTCCTACGAAGCTGGTTATCAACTCAGTAAATCAACCAGGGTTTCTCTGTCCGGCTGAGAGCGCGCTCAGGTGAAAGGGACGTGGTTAGCAACATTTGACCAATCACAAACATGGAGACGCGTGCTGACAGCGCAGCGTCATACTTCATGAATGAATAGTGTAAATAGCCAATCCTGCTTCGTAGTACAGGCCACTGGTGCCGCTGAGATTTCATAAAGTGAAGGAGGTTTTCCTTCGATAAAACAGCTGTGGGCAGCAGATACTGTGAGTCAAGGACAGGAATCCCTCAATTTAAATAAAACGAGGCCACGCTTTACGAGTTACTAAAGCGTGCGCACGAGAAAGTAAAACGTGGCCACGTTTTATTTATTTTTCTCTCTATGAACCCTCCAGGGCTCCGTAAACCTCCTATATATCTAAAGTATTTATAAATAATATGTGGCCTCTGGCTGTGTTAAAATATATTGCCATTCTACTGTATATTCTACTGTATTCTACTGTAATAGTCTTTATGTACTTGATCTATTGGATTTCTCCCAAAGAGAAACAATTATTCTTAAGTGGAATCAAGAGACACGAAAATGAGACAAAGAGCTTAGTCAGGTAAATGATAACAATGCAGTACCTCCTCCAGGTTTATAATGCAACTCAGCTATAATAGGAACGATGCCATGACATCAAATGACATGATGATACCTGCAAAGACTACGAAGCATGGATAAATGTTACAGCTACTCGGAAACTCTGAAATAATTTACAGTCAAAGCACAATACAAAGCGTGTGTGTGTTTGTGTGCACTAATTAAACCGAGGCCTTGCTGTCCGTCTGGTATTTCCAAAAGTCCACTCGGGGATTACACAGAGGACTATGTCTGACTGCTTTGATTGACAGCTGATTATCACAGATTCCACACAGAGAAAAGAGTTTGTGTGTGCGTGCATGCATGCGGAAGAAGCGATTCCTCACATATCCTCCTAGAGTCCTAACCACACGGCCTATTTCTGGAGGGGAAGTAAGACATTTATTCTGCATTGCTGATGATGGATGCTCTGATCTATTATCAGAAACACAGAGGAAGAGTCTTTCCTGTGTTATTCTCTGTTAAAATATGTATTTGTACTGAAGGGGTAGATGTGTGGAACATGGGGGAATATTATTAAGAGGGTGGTTGATTTGTTTTGTGTTGCAAGCAGGATGTTTGACTGTTATTTGATCACACATACAATCAATTTAGTACCAAGGAAAGGAAATTAACAGCACAGCGCAAGCAGAACCCTCAAAATATCAAAATATCTTGTGAACTTTCTGATATGGAAAGTGTCAGGGTACGAGGTAAACGATAAGCTGTGTTTTGAACTAAATGTCAACATCAGCACTACATACAATGACAATGCTAACTGCATCATATTTCAAGTCTGTCTGTTCACAGATCACAGTTCGGTTGGGGTCTGGCCTTACAACGTTTAGGTGCCAAAAGTGCTGTGTTATGGGAGAAAAAAGGTTGTTAACAAAATAAAGGAAGAACGAAAAAGAAGTTAACTTTTTATTGCATGAATGATTTGTTTTGCATCTGGTGGGACTAACTACTTTATACTGCTGGGTTGCTCAATCCCTAATAACATCCCTCTTAATGTTCTACAAACATACAGTGAAACCAAAATAGAGACTATAGTAAAATTAGGTGTACACCAGGGATTTCCACGGAAACTATCTCTCGTAATGCCACTTACCCGTGACAGCTCAGACTCGGAGACGGAGCGCTGTGGCGGCGCGCGACGCTGGTACATGAGGGGGCTGACGTCCTGGTAGCTCGGGCTGTCGTCGTCAAGCAGCAGAGACCCTGCGTCCACCGACTCCTCCTCCGGCTGTGACGTCATGTCCTCCGGGCACATCTGGTGGTCAATGCCATTCTGGCTCAGGTTGCAGTGAACAGCTGTGTGGGCAAGAGGGGGAAAAAAGGAATGAGCTACGACTAAGGTTATATTTACTGTCATGGATTAAAGTTATATTTCATTGCTTAATATAAATACGTTTTAGTATTTTTGGCGACCACTTCATCACTATATGATCTGCTTAATAGTATCCAAAATACACTGCAATAGGATTTATTATTTAAGGTGACTTCCAGCTGCTATATTACATAATGTCCAAACTCTACTGATTATATTACCATCTGAGAGGATGTTAAATCACAACAGGTCCTCCCACATTGAGTGCTGTATGGTTAAAAGTCCACTAGATGGTGGCAGATAGTGATACATGAAGTAGAGTTTCAATCTATAAATACAGTCTATGGTTTAAATGCAAGATTATATACTTAGACCATAAAGAGACTGTAAAATAGTATACCGTCTTTGCAGCTAATACACAAGAAAGCAATGTACTTGCCATCAAAACACACCAACAAAATACAGATAAGTCCTGTTCTAATAGATACTCATTTAAAGTGTGAAGCCTTCTGCCAAATTCAAATATTGAAACTTGAGGCAAATGTTTTTGTTTTCAAAATTCTGACTTAATGACAAAAAACTACTATTTTATGAAATACACTCAGGAGTTGTACTGCTTTAGTCTTACTTTGGTGTTTCCAGTAGCTACTGGCTGTTCACGTTAGCTATTGCTCGCAGACCTAAGATAGTAGTATCTATGTCAGTTCGCTGGCTTTTTTACTTTCCTCTGCTCTGCTACTGTAAAGCCACATTCATCATTCATCCTCATCCTTTCTTTCCTTCGAGGCTGCTCTTCAGCACAAGCTATACATGTGGTCTTGCTTTTAACAAAGAGAAAGCTAAGCTGTTTTCCAAAAGTGTGCTTTTATTGATATTTATGGAGCTGTCTCACTACTCTCTAGAATTCCAGATGTGAGGAGTCACTCTATTCCTGTTGTGCAGTTTGTCAATAACATGGCACCTTCAAAAATCAAGTGAATTTAGTTTGCATACCGTTTTAAACATTAGGTTTTTTCCAAACCCAGAATTATGGAATTGGGATGGATTTTACAGAACAATGGCTTTACAAAGCATCAACAATTAAATGCACTATGTGTGTAGATATGTTGTGGATGTTAAACTTAACCATTGACAACCCAAGAGACAGAACTGTTTCAGTCATTGAAACAAATGATTGATTATTAAGCATGTACAATAGACAGTGAAATTGATCACTGCTGTGTTTCGCTGGAATAAAAACACAATTGCAGATAAAAAGCTGGGCCTTGGTGAGAGATCAACCATTTTACAGCTCTAAATAAATGTTAGCCTAGCTTTTTCGGATACATTTTCAGTCGAGTTCTGATCTCTGGCAGATGAATTGAACATAGATACATCCTCTAAAACCACCAAATCAGTTCTCAAGGTGAGGATGATTGTGCTTCAGTGAAGGCTGTGTGTTAGACTGGAGATTTTAGGAGATGAAGGACTAAAGTCAGATATCGGCAGGGCAGACATTTCTCCTTGTAAAGTTGTATGTCATTACTTTGCCATTTCCGCCATCAAGTGATTATTTTAAGTTAAGTGTTGTTTTCGAAGGAGGCGTCAGACTCAGGCTCTATTTTAGTCTCATCAGGATTGTGGGCACAGAAGTGACAGTTAGCAGTGACAAAAACAGGAAAAAACAAGTGATAGAAATATGCTGTTTGACATCATACAATCTGCTTACTTGTTCCAAAAACATACAGGTCGATCACTCATTTATGAGGAATGAGAGCCAAAGACACTTCTTATCACACCTGAAGGCTGCTGCTGATTAAAGCTTGAGTAGTAGATTTCTGTAATTATTTAACCAAAAAAACCCAGGCAAGGGTTGCCAGATCTTTTCAACTGACAGTAGCAAGCAGCACTGGCTCCAAATTGCTTAATCTAGTGAGGAAGATGGCAAAGTTAAGTTCAACACATATTACTGTTAAATGTTTCTAAAATACATTTCCCATCCTAGCTGTAGAGATCGATTCCAAATATGCTTTTCTGAATGCTCTAAAGAGAGTGAGAACAAATTGATTCAACCAGACAAATTGCTGTTGGCTAAATAAGCAAAGATGACAGCCAAACAAACCCTGGAAAACCACAAATTACTTCTTTCAGACCGCTGTCATCAAGCAATGAGAACAACTCTCAATGATTGGGACAAGACAACAACATCATCTGTGCCGATATCTATTTGACAGGAGTGAAGGTGCTCCTGCCCTCCTCCATGACATGCCATTTCAGAATCAAAGCCGTATATGATTCAGTGACCTAATGCACCGCAAGCCGCATTTATGGAAAGCAAAAACTCTCCGGGAAACGTCCTCCCCCACGACCCTAAATCACACCTTGCTGTCAGGATGGTATTGAAAATGTTTCTCTTCTCTACACTTCCACTGATTATTCTGAGGACACGGGAGTGTTTGTTATAGACGGTGTCAGAGAGCACTGCACCCTGCACAGCTTTCTGGTGGATCACCCAGAGGAGATGATGGGATTTATGCCTCTCAAGCAACACACTGTCAGAATGCCAATAAATAGAAAAACACTGGACATTTGCTCAAGGACTGGACCTAAGTACAATTTTAAGGTACTTTTACTTATCAAGTGTACTCTATACTTCCACTTCAATTACTCCAATATTGCACTTTTTACTAAACTGCATTCATTATATAATTAATTAAATGAATGACAAAAAATGTACTGAATATTTCTTCTCATTTAATTATGAACATAAGTGCTAAGAAAAAATCTAGAGAATAAAAGCAAACATGTTTCAATATATTAAGAGACAACATATAGCGCGATGTAAAAACAAAAGTATAATTTTACATCAGAGTTTCTGACAAATTTGAGTCGGTATGCATCCTGAAATCTCTATTATGATTTAATCACAACACGATTTCATTAAACGATGACACATTGTCCTACCTCTACCTCTTTATACATAATGAATACTTTCACTTAGAAACCATAAGTACATTTTTATAATGCTATACTGTACTGAAGGTGTGAATGTACTTTTACTTAGCAGGGTGTTTCCATAGTGTTCCACTGGTACTTTTATTCCAGGATAAGGTCTGAATACTTATTCTGCCAGTCTTATTACTTGTGTTTTTTCTCAGTGAGCTGGAAAGGATATCATTAATGAATGAGCACACCATGAGAGATTGTTTTCAATGACACTATAACTATGCCAAGAAACTGACTAAAAGGTTTAATTGTGATTAACATTATAAAGCCACATCACAAACACAGCAGAGATGACCTGGTCTGTTCTGATCTCTGATAAGAAAGCAAGGTCCCGAGACGCCCCCAGTAAAACGGAGATAATAAACATGAGCTGGCTGTGTTTAAAACAAAGCCAACTTGAGATGCGCAGCACGAAGTGTTGCTCCCTCTCCCTGCCTCTTTATTCATGACTGGTGTGCAACTCTGGAGGAGAAATGAATTATACATCCTCTGCCGATAGCAACTAAACAATGGCGCCAGCAGAGGGAGAGGAAGATGGATGGGTGAGAAGATGATGATAGGGGTAAAGTAAGTGGAGGCACAGAGAGGAAGGACAGAACGGGTGGGTGGGATACTGAAATGCTTTTTCTTTTTAAACGGAAACAGTTACTATAAATAGCACCATTACATTCTTCCCTCTCTCCTCCCTGACATGCAAGCATGGCGAGGGAAGAGAGATAGATGAGGAAGGGGTTTATTCTCTCAATGAGATCAGTAAAACAGAGGGCGAATGAGGGGAGAAAATGAATGGAGATGTTAAGAACAGTGGCATCCATGTCCAGCCAAATGAATTCCCATTACTGAGGGGAGGATTAATAAAGAATTGGATTAATCTTACATGGCTCCGTCTCTTAATTACTGTACAGGGTTTGGAACAAGGAGCAATTACAAAACCAGTCACAAGAATATTGTGTACGTCTGTGAGAGAGGAGCATGTAATCAGGATACACTGCTTAATCATTTTGCTCTTGCAACATTACACTTTGTGTGCTAAGCTCCCACACAAAGAATATTGAATATGGAGGTTTTAATAAACTTTCATTTGGCCACTGCTGAGATGTTAAAAGGGTAAATGGTGGCCTAAAAATACAACTCTACATCGTTGCTGGTGGAAACTTTTCAAATACACGCCTGATTTTTTTTTAGTTTGTAAGAAAAGATGAAGTCAAAACTTTTTTTTTTTTTTTTTCTTTTTTTAAATTGCAAACATGGAAATGCACATCCTACTGATCTGATAGCATACTGCTTAGGAGGTGTATATTTTATATTGTTTTAAATTATTTACTTGACATTTTTCCGAACACCCAGCCAAATGATGCTAACTAGAGTAGTAGTAGCTGGCAGCAGTAATTCATCAAATACAATGAAAAAGTTCCTTAATAACATTAACTAGCTGAAAAAACAGTAACTTTTGAACACTTACCACAATACACCAAACAAATCAAAATCATTGACTGAAAATATAACTGAATACATGTCAATATTCCAATAACAGATTCAGATTTAAGTCATTAAAGGTTAATGATTACATTGAGGACAAAACATTTCTGAAGGACCTGTGTACTTCCTGATCACTGCATCAAACTCAGTTGCAGCCTGACATGTATACTTACAAAATGTAGCTGAGGGTTCAGCAAGTCAGATGACTCGATGTCAAAATGATGTATTCTTACTGAACACATACTATATTTAATAGTGTAAAGAGGGGAATAATATGTCATTATTTGGGCTATTTTTTCTCCTTACTTCCCCATAAATGTGCAGAAACTCAGCTGAAAAAATGCACGTTTGGAACCAAGGTAATGGAAAAAGCCAAACGATGTTTTCATGTGCTAACTGTGTGCTAACCCCAGAGCCTGTGGTACACAGCCAAGGCTGGTTTAAAGTGAAACCAGTAGTGGGTCCATAATCAAAAAGTGAAGTTTGCTCTGTGTGGGCGCTCAGGCTCAGAGTGATCTGT